TTTTTAGTATTGAGTATTTATAATGGCACGGGAATGTTCAAGGTGTAATCAAATTCCGTTATTCTAACCAAACAAAATGGACGCTGATAATTTTGATTTTGGACAATTCAATACAATATTGGGTCAAACGAAGATATTTTTGGAACGGAAATGGAGAATCATATCCAACAAGCATTGACAAGAATTTAAATTTTGCGTACAGTTTTGATAAAATTTGGATCTAATTCAAGAGGCATAGACACGAATGTCAATATATCAAGCACCATAGTTGTACTCAGATCGGCAGAAACTATGTTTAACCTTCAAGCTTTTTGGAAACGCATGGAAATAATAATTAACATCTTTAGTGAAGATCTCCCAAAATATTTCGTTGTGATAGAAATAATATTGGCTTTTTAGTACTTCTAAACCCATGTCACAGTAGGGCTCTGAAATTCATTCCAGGCGCATTGAAAACAAACATGAACTTGATCGTCAGCCTTGCAGCCTCAGATATCAGTATATCGACCTTACATTTTGTTCAAAACATCTTTATTTTTCTGTCTGTTCTTTAATTGCAATTTTAGAACGCAGGCCTGTGCAGACGTCACTGGGGCTAAACTGAACAGTTAGAGGAGGCTATTCCAAAGACGCGTATGCTCCTAGAAAAGAAAGAATTTTGATGATATTGTGTCCTCGAGTAGGGTATCAGGTAGTTTAGGTTTCTTGTTTGAGTAAGGTGTCGGTGGCCAACACAGACAATGTTGTTTTGATTTTTAACACAAGTATGTTACAGCACTGATGCTTAGGGTTTGCCAATTAAGTTGAGACACTATACTTGCATAGCCATAATCTTTAAGAAATATATCTAGCAGCTGATCTTTGGACTCGATATCTGCATGAGCATTTTGTGAAAAATAGCTGTTTTCATTGAAAAGTCTCCCGTTACAAGTTCAAATTGCTATAAAACTATAAAATCTGCTTTAATACTTATAAAACTTGGCATAAATGTTGACTGGATCATTGCCTCTGTAAAGACATGCTCAGTCTAAAATTTCCTGTTACCATGACAACGAGGGAACATCTAAAAAAATCACTATTTTGTGTTGATTTTTTCCAGTCAAAATTGATTACTTCTCAATGGATTGAGATAGAGTCAAAGGCTTTTCAGCGTTGGTTACACGTTACCTTATGATCGACCTGGGGTCATTTTTAGCCTGTCACAAGTCCAAAATTTTCTTGGCGATGAGGGGGGCTGTCCCCACCATCAACCCCCCCCCCACCAAACATCCCCCTTCTGGCAACCCACTGATGTATCTTTTGGAGAGGGGACGGCGCAAAAAAAGTGGTGGCGTTTTTTTAACAACATTTCTCAAACAAAAACAAATGTTGGGGGCCTAAATAATGCATTTATTCACCTTTTCACCATTTGAGACAGCAACTTAATTGGGGGGGGGTGAAAAAGGCGTTAAAAGGCGTGTATATCGGGTAATAAATACCCGTTTAGAAGCTGGTTATTAAATAAATGCCATTTGTAAATAACATTTTCAAAGCAAAAAGGCAACTTTGTTTTTTTTCCCCCTGCTTTTGTTTGGTTTTACATCTTTGGGTTCAATGAAGAAGAGTTCAGAAAGCGGTATGTCTAAAATACGAAAGTGAAATTTTTGACGAAAGTGAGCGAAAGTCAGCGAATGTGACTTTTAAAATTTGAATTGTAGGCTTTTAATATAATTTTACAGTGAATTTTCTGTTTGTAGACGTATATTTTTAGCAACTTATAACATTTTCTTTTCAAAAATAATCACTATGATGATTTAATCGCCATTTATATGCATAATTTCTATACACAAGTGCTGAGATCTTCCTTTCGCTCACTTTGAAAAATACGAAAGTGACTGGTAAAATATTAAATATAGAGTTTTAATTGACAGCAACTTAATTGGGGGTGAAAAAGGCGTTAAAATGCGTGTATATCGGGTAATGGGTAAACATGATTTTAAGTGTATTTAAAACATAAATTCCCGTTTAGAAGCTGGTTATGAAATAAGTGCCATTTGTAAATAACATTTTCAAAGCAAAAAGGCAACTTTATCTTTTTCCCTTGCTTCTTAAACTTCCAGGTATATAGGGATGAAAGACTAGAAGGCAAAGGTGGGGGAACCCTCGTTGCTATATCGGAATCCATTCTAAGCCAGGAACAACCTGATCTGAAATCAAAATATAATTCAGTTTGGTCCAAATGTCCCTTAAAGGGTTTAAGGACATCTATATCTCTTCCTTCTATAAACCTCACGAGAAGGATGAGATACCCCTCAATGAACTTTGGTCTTCCATAAAAAAGATCCCCAACAATAGTATTGTCTGGGTGCTTGGGGACTTCAATATGCCAAGCATCGACTGGTCAACAGAATCCCTGACAGAAGGTTGTAAGTTCCCAAATTATATACTTCTTTCCTTGAAAATCTCATTAACTTAAACCTAAAGCAAATGGTCAACATCCCTACAAGAGGTAACAACGTTCTTGACCTGTTCCTCACAAACATGCCTTCCCACGTACATAGTACAAAAACCCTACCTCCCTTAGGCTCCTCAGGTCATGACATAGTCTTTCATGAAATCAAAATTAACAGAGGGCGTCCACTTCAATCAAAGAGGGATATCCAATGTTATAATAGGGCAAACTGGAATTGTTTAAAAAATGACGTTAGTAAATATGCCAAGGTCTACAGTGAAACACACCACACTGATCCCAACAAAGCCTGGATTTCCTTCAAGGACGAACTAAACAACCTTTGTTCTATTCACATACCAACTAAAGTCACTAAAACACGTCGAGATCTACCATGGTTAAACATGTCCATTATTTGCAAAATTAGGGAACGTGATAGAACTTATTCAAACATTAAAAGGTCAAAGTCCCCATCAAATGATTTGGACAAAAAGCTCAAAGTACTTAAAAGTGAAATCCAAAGAGAAACTAGGAAAGCATACTGGCAATACCTAGACTCTGTCATTTTCAGCCAAGACTCCCAAAATGTGAAAAATAAAAAATTATACCAATATGTTAAAAGTAATAAAACTGAAAGCTGTGGTGTGGCACCCCTCAAATCAGAAGGTCAAACATTTACTGATCCAGTTGCAAAAGCAGATATCCTTAACTCCCAGTTTGAGTCTGCCTTCTCTCGGCCTCAGCCCCTTAGCTTATCCCAGACTTGCAAGCAGAAGCTTATTCCAAAACACCACCCATCTATGCCAGAAGTATCTATATCGGAAGATGGTGTGAAGAAACTTTTAAAAGACCTAAACCCAAATAAAGCTTCTGGTCCTGACCAAATATCCCCTAGGTTATTAAAAGAGTTCAATCAAGAGGTTACTCCCATACTGACCCACATCTTCCAGATCTTACTTAAAACAGGTATTGTCCCAGCAGACTGGAAGCATGCAATAATTGCACCAGTTTACAAAAAAGGCCCAAAATGCAAACCCAGCAATAACTATAGACCAATCTCCCTCACATGCATAGCGTCCAAATTGATGGAGCACATCTAAGTGTCCAATATTATGTCCTTTTATGATAAACACAACATCCTTAGCCCCTATCAACATGGTTTCAGGTCAAAACGGAGTTGTGAGTCCCAGCTAGTAAGCTTCTCCCAGGAAATTTATGACAATCTTGAAAGTGGCCAACAAACTGATGTCATAGTCATGCATTTCAGTAAGGCATTTGATAAGGTGGACCATCACAAACTTGTGAGTAAACTAGAAAGATTGGGTATAAGTTATGAGGTTACAAATTGGGTCCATTCCTTCCTTAAGTCACGCTCCCAGCAAGTTGTAGTTGAAGGTCAAAAATCAGGAATACTACCAGTTCTCTCAGGTGCCCCCAAGGCTCGGTATTATGTCCCTGCCTTTTCCTTTCTTACATAAATGACCACCCAGATAGTGTCAAAGGTAAGGTTAGACTCTTTGCAGATGATACTGTTGTCTACCTAACCATCAGATCTAAACAAGATGCCCAAACCCTCCAAGATGACCTTCATGCTTTAGAAAAATGGGAAAACGACTGGTCCATGGAGTTCAACCCTGACAAATGTGAAGTTCTCAGGATAACAAGAAAAAGAAACCCTGTAATATTTCCTTATACCCTCCATAACATCCAACTAACCTCACTCAACTCAAGAAGCAAATACTTAGGAGTCACTATTATTCAAGACCTTTCATGGACCAAACATATAAACAACATCACATCTAAAGCAAATAACTCCCTCAGATTCATTAGAAGAAATGTTAAAACTCCAAATACAAAGATAAAAGAAACTGCATATAAGACCTATATGTTAGACCTCAGGTTGAATATTGCTCCATAGTTTGGCATCCTTGGCAGAAATACTTAATTTATAAGATAGAGCAAGTACAAAGATCAGCTGCTAGATACATTTTTAATGATTATGACTATACAAGTAGTGTCTCAAAAATGATAAATGATCTTAATTTGCAAACTCTTGAACAGCGTCGAAACATCAATGCTGTAACCTACTTGTATAAAATCCAAAACAATATTGTCTTTGTTGACCACCAACACCTTACCAAAACAAGAAATCTGAACTACCTGATACCCTACTCGAGGACACAATATCATCAAAATTCTTTCTTTCCTAGGAGCATACGTCTTTGGAATAGCCTTCCCCTAACTGTTCAGTCTAGCCCCAGTTTAAACATCTTTACTGAGAGGCTTGACCCATTCTATAAATTCTAAACTTCACACTATGTCTTTTAAATTAATAGTCTTGTAGAACTTTTATTCTTTTAACTTTTTAATTTGCTTATAAATAAATTATTTTATTAACAGTTACCTGACTACGCGCCTGCTAGTCATTATCAGTATTGATTGTTAAGCAGTATGATGTAGATGTAGATGTTTTGTTTGGTTTTACATCTTTGGGTTCAATGAAGGAGAGTTCAGAAAGTATAACTCTTATTTGTTTATATATTATCATCTTTTGTCGGAAAATGCTATTTTAACGTGGTTGACATGTGACCAGCTATACTGTTTTGATTGATACAAGAAGTGTCATTTGAAAACTGTTTGTAATTATGCTTATTAGTTGATTAAATTGTTAAGTGCAGTAGTAATCGGATACGTAAATTTTGTATACCGGTGAGCAATCCTGAGATCCTCTTTGTTACTATGCAAATATTTGATTAAATAAAATACTACTAGTAAAGATTGACCTAACAATACATTCTCTTATACAGACCTGTCTTTTAATCCAGAACAAATCTCATTATTACCTTATGCCTTTTATAAATACTATAATTCCTTATAATTTACCCATTTCCCTGTGTATTTACCTGTTTACAACAGTTAGATCGAACTGCTGAAATCCTGTGCATGCGCAATGATGAAATGAAGGGTTGAACAGTCAGCATTTTATAACTGTTACACTCCTGTCCTAAGGCGCTAGTAACATAATCAAATATTTTTCACAATCATCCTATATTAGTCCAACTAATTGTACTGCGCAACAAGATATTGTGCTATTTTTCGTGACTGGGCAATATCTCGCCTCTACGGCCTATATATGAATATAAAGATATATCATTATATACATATATAGGCCGATTATGAAAAATATTTGATTATGTCATAATGTGACTAGCGCCTGTGCCCTGTCGATGTTAACAGATATTTCTGTTAACGCCGCCCGCCACCATTCAGTTATTGAAAGTCTTTAAGCTCATTGTAGGGTAGTGGTTTGTCTGCAGGATTCACAGTTGTAAACAATTAAAACAGTTGTAAAAATTTTATTTATTTTATTTGTGTGTTGTTGCAATATGTATTGTAGTTTGATTGCAAAGTATTAGGTAATAGAACAGTTATTTTATGGTTGATTGTTGAACAGTCAAAATTGTTGCCCCAAGGTATCAGGGATGACATTTGGAACTGTCGCTTCGGCCTCCAAATGTCATCTCAACAGTTTGATTGTTCCACAAACACCCATGAAATAAATGTATAGTGGCTTTGCAATGCATGTTATCCCTACAGTATCCCAGAACAACCAATAATAAATGGAAGGGGAAATGATGCTTCAAATCTATTTTAGGTGTTTATGCATCTATCCACATTTATTCATTTTATTGTTGGTACATGTAAATTTTCAACAAGTCTTGAGCTTGCTTAGAAAAAAAATAAAAACAATATGACCTACTCTGATTACATCTAGGAACATTTAAACCTAAAGTCAAACAGCTGGGTCAAACACCAGTGAATAAGAACAACCCTCGTATTCAGTACATTTGTACCAATATATTCAAATTTGTATCACTGTCAGAGGTTATGTACAAAATTCTTGATAAGCTCAGCCTCTTATTTTCTAAGGTCAATTTTAAACTTTAAATTGATATTTGTAAATTGTACAACTTGAAGTTGATATTTGTAAATTGTACATTTTAATCATTGTTTGATTTCAGACTAAATTATCTCTGACTGAAATGTGGCACTCATAATACAAGGAAAATGTTATGTTCACTCTGCTTGGGTAACAAGTTGGTAAAACAGCAGTATGTGAACCAAATTCTTCGGACATTGTATATGTCAAATCAGAAACAACAACAACAGCAACCTGAAAGGAGAATTAAACCATTCCCGGTTCTTGATGGAAATGTTGATTCCACTGATAAGAATTTTTTGAAGAACCTTGAAGTATCAAAGAGCTACGAGACTAGTTATTGTGAGATAGTAAGCAAGTCACAGCTTGGTGGAGGGGAGAAGGCAATTGCTAGACATGTGAAGCAGCATAAGAAACTACTAGCAGAGGACAGGGTTAAACTCTTGCTTGATGATTATACTGAGTTTCTAGAGTTGTCTCCTATTGCTGGACATGCTATGGAGTATGGAGATGTTGCTAGAGCTGGTATTCTTGGAGGTATTGTTTACTATAATAGAAAAAAGTCTTTACACAGAAAAATAAGTACTGGTATATGAATTTGAAAAAAATCTTCAATGAATTATAATAAGGAGTTCTATATCTCTACCTTTTATAATATACATGGATATAAAGAATATTTAAGAAATGTTTTGCCTAGAAAAACTAATTAAAAAAATTTAAGATATGGTTCGCTTAGAAAAATAATGATTATTTCTGTGTTTCTGTTATATATTAAAGCTACATGCCTCCAGATGAGCTGAAATATTTCAATAGAATCAAAACCAAAAAAAGTACTAAGTTTTTAGGAAAAGTAAAAAGATTCAAGATTTAAGTAATAATTTACATGTTATTGTGATTAATGATTGACTTTTTAGTTCTATAACCATATTTCTACTGTGTTACTAACGCAGTAAAGGCTATTTTTTCATATTTTACCTCATTTTGGTAATTTAGGTGAGTTGTGGATGCTGTCTGTAATGTGAAAATTTATTGCGTTTGGTTACTTCACAATATTTTACTTTTTAATACATTTTCAAAATGTTTGTGAAAACAAGCATGAATCTGGAGGCATACTACTTTAAGTGCACTTACATGTGTATTTCTACTATGGAATTTAGCTACAGAAACTTATATGAGAGGAATATGCAGCAAAGTCTGAAGAAGTAAAAAAGTCTTAGTAAAAACATACTAGTTTCTATTGTATCTATTATTATAAATAAATTTGAGCCGCGTCACGACAAAACCAACTTCATGGGTTTGTGACCATCATGGATCCAGACCAGCCTGCGCAACCGCGCAGTCTGATCAGGATCCAGACTGTTCGCTTACAGACCCTATAGAGAAACTGATAGCGAACTGCATGGATCCTGATCAGACTGCGGGGATGCGCAGGCTGGTCTGGATCCATTCTGGTCGCAAACCCATTATGTTGGTTTTGTCGTGACGCGGCTCATATGTGTTATTAATGTTGTATGAGTTTTGAAATATACATCACCTTACTAAACTGACATTTTCGTCTATAGTTGGAGAGATTTTTTTGAGATAATTGATTATAATTCAGTCACTATCAGTGATGCCACTACCTCATTGTTCCATCTTATGCCAGTATACTATCTAGTTATATCAAGACTTCTATTTTGATTTTAATTTTAAAATAAATTGTTTTCAATTTTCCAGTTCCTATGTGAAATTAGATATTTGAATTGTTCTTTTGTTAATTTGAGTTTTAATGAGACAGAGTAATAGACATATACTTGAAAGATTTATTTTATTTTAGGTATTGGTAAAATTCATGGGAAATACTGTATGATTATAGCAAATGATGGAACAGTTAAAGGTGGCACTGTATATCCAGTTACATTAAAGAAACAGTTGAGACTTCAGGAGATAGCTGAACAAAACAGGATACCTTGTATATATGCTGTAGATTCAGGTGGTGCCTTCCTTCCACTACAGGTAAACTCATATGTAGGGTGATGATTAAAAAAGAAAAACACATGTGTTTATATTACAATTATACCTTAAAAGTAATTATTCGCCATGAATCCATCACTCATTAGTATCAGTGCAAAGTGTATGTAAAGTCATGAATAGGAGTATGATAACTGTACAAAAAAAATTTTCTACAGTTCACACAGTTACATAATTAAAATTTATAGTATTTTCCTTAACTACTTATTATATGAAAAAATAAAATTTACAATGTTTACATTAAAAGCAATCATAATACAAAATGTATTACATGAGCTATTTTTGAATCCTTGTACTTTAACATGATTATTTAGTGTATCACATTAGTATAATTTATAGCAAGAAGTTCTGGTATTGTCTTAAAAAAGTCTTCAAATTTTATAGTGACAGATCTGTATTAACTTTGTAAAAATTACCTGTCAAACTTGCAACAATGTTATGCATGTTTTGTTTACTTGTAATTGACAAATTATTTCAGAGTACCTAAAGTGTATGAAACATTGTAACTAAAAATAAAAATCTTTCTGCAGATTTATTTTTCATTTAAGAAAATTTCAGTTATCACATCATATGTCATAGTAAGTGTATAGAGAAAAAAAAATTGTTATTATGATAATAAATATTATTTTAATGTACTTTTGTGTGTTTATTTACAGTCAGAAATATTTCTTCCTGGTGGACGGACATTCTACAATGAAGCTGTGATGTCATCTATGGGAATACCACAGGTACATTAAACTTTATCAAGAAATAACTTCTGTCCATGACAGTGGTCTTCTTAGTCACCAGAGCACATCGTTCACTGTCTGGCTTTTATCTATATATCATGAAATGTGGTAACTAAAGTCACTGGTCTTTTCCCTTATATAAACGAAGGAATCATTGAATGTTTTTCAGAGAAAATGTCTGATTTTGATGAAGTAAAATAGAAAAATTCATTGGTAACTGACTATCAAGATTTTCATAAAACATAATGACAAAAGTTAAAATCCTGTACCCTGCATTTTGCAAACTATGGTCTGCAATTTGCCATCACAAAGTTTTGTGTGTGGATAAACCTTTCACAATGAATAATCCTGAACTTTATTTATTTACAAATCTATGACTTTCAAATATTTAGCTTCAGTCTAAAAGTTTGAACCACCTTTTCATTTGTTGTGTTAAATGAAAATGTGACCCCAAATGTTACCCATTATTTTACTTCAGTATGAAAAAAACAACAATCTTTTCTAGCTGTTGATCTCCTTTTTATTAGCAGTTTTGGGAGTCTTTACAAAATTATCCAATCCATTGTCCCAGGGATCAAAAATAGTCAACATTTTTTGTCTACTTTCATTTAACCAAAATGTGCAATGTAGTCCCATGTGGGCCTCTTGTTAATTTATCTGATGTAATTGAAAACTTTTAAGTCTTTAAATTGAATTCACCAGAAGAACCTTATGTTTTTAATAGCCATGAGACAAATTTTACTTTAATTGAAATTTAGTAATTTAGTGACTTTACGAGCTTGAGTCATAATAAGTTTCTATACAAGCCAGTCTGTTTTAAAACAAATCCATGTGGTAAATTCAGGCACAGTAGTTGCAAGAAAAATATCAGTACTTGTATTTTAAAATTTATTTTGCTAACAATGAAATTATCCACAGTGGAACTCCTCAAGTAATCTGTTTATTCTTCTTTTCTCTGTTTGTAGATAGCTATAGTAGTAGGGAATTGTACAGCAGGGGGAGCATATGTACCAACTATGGCTGAGGAGGCTGTCATTGTACACAGAATAGGTACTATATTTCTAGGAGGTCCACCCCTTGTACAGGCAGCCACTGGCGAGATTATCTCAGCAGAGGATCTAGGTGGAGCCACCATGCATTGCAGGTACGTAAATGTGTAAAAACAAAGACATTATACCATTTACTCAAAAGATTGAAATGGTGCTCTTGTGAAAACATATTAAAATATCTTGTTTATTAAATGTATTCATCAGATTGTTGTCAGATAAAAGTGCATACATCTGCTGTCTATAGTTACAAAATTATTGTTTGAATTTTGAAAAAGAACAATTCAGAAATACCTGTGAAATGAATATGTCTGTATATTTTCTTAAGAGTGAATGGTGCATGTGTGAAATCATTGCCAAATAATTAAAACTCTACTTAAAATAGCAGCTTAATAATCTGTTGCAAACATTTTATTCTGTTCATATAAAATATTCCAACTCCAAGGAACTTACAATGTATGATAATTTCAACAACAAATTCAACAGTTCATTTCTTTATAATTATGCCCCTATTTCGAAGAAAAGGGGGTATATTGCTTTGCACTTGTCGGTCCGTCGGTCCGTAGACCAAATGGTTTCCGAGTGATAACTAAAGAACCCTTAGGCCTAGGAACTTCAAACTTGGTATGGTGATTGGTCATGACCAGTAGATGACCCCTATTGATTTTGGGGTCAAGGGGTCAAAGGTCAAGGTCACATTGACCTTGTAAGCAAAAACGGTTTCCGATCAATAACTAAAGAACCTTAAGCCCTATGAACTTCAAACTTGGTATGGTGATTGGTCATGATCAGTAGATGACACCTATTGATTTTGGGGTCAAGGGGTCAAAGGTCAAGGTCACATTGACCTCTTGAGTAAGAACGGTTTCCGAGTGATAACTGAAGAATTCTTAGGCCTAGAAACTTCAAACTTGGTATGGTGATTGGTCATGACCAGTAGATGACCCCTATTGATTTTGGGGTCAAGGGGTCAAAGGTCAAGGTCATATTGACCTTGTAAATAAAAAGGGTTTCCGATCAATAACTAAAGAACCTTAAGGCCTAGGAACTTCAAGCTTGGTATGGTGATTGGTCATGATCAGTAGATGACCCCTATTGATTTTGGGGTCAAGGGGTCAAAGGTCAAGGTCATATTGACCTCTTTTGTAAAAACCGTTTCTGATCAATAACAAAAGAACCCTGAGGCCTAGGGACTTCAAAATTGATATGGTGATTGGTCATGATCAGTAGATGACCCCTATTGATTTTGGGGTCAAGGGGTCAAAGGTCAAGGTCACATTGACCTCTTAGGTAAAAACTGTTTCTGATCAATAACTAAAGAACCCTTAGGCCTAGGAACTTCAAACTTGGTATGGTGATTGGTCATGACCAGCAGATGACCCCTATTGATTTTGGGGTTAAGGGGTCAAAGGGCAAGGTCACATTGACCTTGTAGGTAAAAATGCCTATACGATCAATAACTTAAGAACCCTTAGGCCTAGGAACTTCAAACTTGGTATGGTGATTGGTCATGACCAGCAGATGACCCCTATTGAGTTTTTAGTCAAGGGGTCAAAGGTCAAGGTCACATTGACCTTGTAAGTAAAAACTGTTTCTGATCAATAACTAAAGAACGCTTAGGCCTAGGAACTTCAAGCTTGGTATGGTGATTTGTCATGACCAGCAGATTACCCCTATTGATTTTGGGATCAATGGGTCAAAGGTCAAGGTCACATTGACCTTGTAAGTAAAAACAGTTTCTGATCAATAACTTAAGAATGCTTAGGCTTAGGAACTTCAAACTTGGCATTGTGATTGGTCATGACCAGCAGATGACCCCTATTGATTTTGGGGTCAATGGTCAAGGTCACATTGACCTTGTATGTTAAAACGGTTTCCGATCAATAATAAAAGAACCCTTAGGCCTAGGAACTTCAAACTTGGCATGGTGATTGGTCATGACCAGCAGATGACCCCTATTGATTTTGGGGTCAAGGGGTCAAAGGTCAAGGTCACATTGACGTTGTAGGTAAAAACGGTCAATTCACTAAAAACGCTTAGGCCTTGGAACTTCAAACTTTGTATGATGATTGGTTGTGACCAGCAGATGACCCCTATTGAGTTTTGGGTCAAGGGGTCAAAGGTCAAGGTCATGACCAGTAGATACTTGATAACCCTTATTAATTGTTTGATCACTTGGTCAGAAGTCATGCATAATAACCTTATCACATGACTAATTGGCTGCTGATAGGGGGCATACATGTTTTACAAACATATCTTGTTTATATTTAATGTTTGTGTCAATGTATGTGAACTTACTGAATCAATTAAGTGACTCAAGATACAGAAAGGCAGGGATATATTAGCCTAGTCTTGTATTGATGTTTACATGCTCACAGATTGACTACATTTTTTCAAGGGGTTTACATATTACAGCAGGGAAAGGGTTATGTTTTTAGATGTGACACAAAATTGAAAGAACATCAAAGCACTCAGCTATCTGATTTCTACACAATGCCTTCTTGTAAAAATCAGATAAGGGTTCATAACCTTGTGTTATGATACTCATTCTATAAAAGATATTTGTTTTCATCTTGAAAAAAGTGATAAATATTTAAAGTGAAATACATTTCAAAAGGACAGGAAGTATCTCATTTATTTTTGCTGAGCTATGTCCCTTATTCTTCTATTTCTTTTAGTTTCTATGTACACCTATTTGTTAAGGTACATTTCTCAAAAATTACCAAACATATTATTTTTAATGTAAAAATTCTTATCCACTTTTAAAATGGGAATGCATTTCTACAAGGGTCATGAGCCTGAAAGTAATTTTGACTTGAAATTTCTTTTCTTTTCTCAATAATTGTCAAAGAAATTCATTTTAGAATTAAACAAAAAGAAATAACAGACTGGCCAATCCCCCACAAAACTGGAGAAAAAGTACATTAAGAGGATGATCCTTTTGCACACAAAACAAAGGGCAGTAACTCAAAATTACAAAGTTTGTGTATGAGAGTTATATCCCCTGAAGTTTCAAGCTGGTAACTCTTATAAACCTTTTTAGTTATAGCCTAGACAAGAAATAAGACTTACAAATAAAACATGGAAAAAAATATTGAAAAAGGGCAATAAATATTAAATTATCATATAGAGAGTTGTCCTTCTTGTCATCTGCATTCCTTCTTTCCAATTCAGTTTCAAATTACATGTAATATCTCTAAAGCTTATGAGTTATGGTCTTAAGGTAGTACACCCCTAATGCACTGTCTCCACTTTGAAGAGTATTCAAATAGGCTAAAATCACTGTAAAGTGTATTGAAACTGAGGGGGCGTGGGTTCAAACCCCAGAAGGGGCAATTTTTTTCTTTCTTTTTTTTCTTTTTAACATTTTTTATTAATCTCTCAGACCACCTATGGAAGAAAAAAGTGTTTTAATTTAATTATATGATTATTGTAGGTATTTATTTACTAAATAATGCCAAATTTAATAGCAAATATGATACCAGATATTTTCAAAGTTTAATAAAATAAAAACTATACGGTAAAAGTATTTTATATTTTGCAAGATCAACCACTATACATTAAAGAAAATTTAGGCAAACTTTGAAAATAGCCCCTCATGTTGAAAAATTTTAGGGATATTTTAAATAAGGCTTTTTACAAAGGGAAATGGTCAAATTAGTGTTAAAAGTGGGTGGGGTAGGGTTACATTTTATACATATTAAAAACATTTCGTTTAAAACAATCATTTTGCTTGTTTAATTTGTTACCTAAATGTCATTATTTATTTCTTAACAATGGGCAAAAAGGAAAATATTTTTCATAATGATGATATTATAGATTATTTAGAGTTTCCTCATTTCTGAAAAAATCCCTTCTAATGGCAAAGTTTTAGTTCATTAAAATGTCCATAACTCATAAACCACACGGTAAATTTTGTTTAAATTTTGCATACAGGTGACATTTAAGGCAAATAACTGTCCTATGTTGTCAAATTTACAATTCCTTTTAGTGCCCATTAGGGGTGTACTACCTTAATAAAATTATGCAAGGAAAGAAGCAAACGGTCATAAATTAAAAAAGATTCAAAGTGTATTAAGCTAAATGTAATGAAATATTTTTATGAAGTTTATTAACTGTTACAGTAAAATCATATTGTTTCAAAATGTAGCAAACATCTAGAATTCACTAGGTTTTCTATGTAGAAAGTATGCTTCAGTCCAGAAACAGTGAAATATTAATATTATTTCTATGCATATACCGTTTTAAATGTCAAATACCTCATCAGAGAATAGAGTTTTTATTGATTTTTGTTTAACTATAATGTATCTTGTGAATTAATTTGTTTACTCAATAGCGGAATTGATATTAAAAGGAATTATATCAATACAATATATTAATGAATATAATGGGCCTATTATGGCAAAATGCTGAAAAATAATGTTGCATAATGGATTAACTTGACATTATAGATAAAAGCTTAAAGGCATTGATAAAATGATGTCAGAAAATAAATGAGGGGAACAATATTAACCCTTTCTGGGGGTGTTTTTATTGATATTAATGCCTGTGGGATGGTCGGCTGATTTTCGTGACAGTCCCGGATGTCCGGGACTTTATGACATGTATGATGTTATATGTGCATCATATATAGGTGTGTAGGGGTGTGTGGGACATATTTGTAAAATATACATAAGTTTAGACCAAGTATACATCTCTCTATAGTGAACATCAGGTATACAGAAAATTTGTATATTGGTCACTCTTGTACAGAATTAGTTTCAAATGATAGATGAATATTGTGTTATACTGCTGTAGTTTTAAGGAAAATAAAATTCCATTTTGAAGTATAAAAAGCCCTGTACATTCTTTATCAATGTGTTTTCCCTATAATTAAGCCATATGGATTTAATTAATGTTGCTTGCATTTCACCATTATATTATAGTGTTAGTGGCTGCACAGACTATTATGCTGCAGATGAGTATGAAGGGTTTCAAACTGGGCGTGACCTGGTAGAAACCCTTAATCTACCCAGCCATCCTGGTCCAACTAGAAACCCGGAAGAGCCTTTGTTTGATCCAGAGCAAATTCAAGGTCTTATACCAGCTCAACAACAAGAAACCATGGATATTAGAAAGGTGTGTTTGTTCTAAAATAGAAGACATTTATATGTTGTTATTAAGTACAAGAATCAAAGGCCATTTGTGTTACACATTTTTATGCTCCCCGAAAAATTTCGGGGGAGCATATAGTTGGGGCCTTGTCCGTCTGTCCGTCCTTTGTCTTGTTAACACTTTGAACTTTGTCTGGAACATTACTCTAAAACTATAAGAGATATCAAGATGAAACAATGTAGGTAGATTGATCTCATTGAGTAGGAGTGCAGTGCAAAAGAACCATAACTCTGTTTAGCTTCATTTTTGAATTATCTCCCCTTTTAGAAAAATCTTGTCCAGTACATAGCTGTAAAACTATAAGAGATATCAACATGAAACTTTGTAGGTAGATATATCTCAATGGGTAAATGTGCAGTGCACAAGAATCATAACTCTGCCTTGCCTAATTCTGGAGTTATTGCCCTTTGTTTATTTTTACTTTTTAAAATTTGTCTGGGAAATTACTCTAAAATTATAAGATATATCAACATGAAACTTTGTTGGTAGATTGATCTCATTGAGTAAAAGTGCAGTACAAAAAAAACATAACTCTGTTTTGCCCAATTTTTTTATAATCTCCCCTTTAAAAAATCTTGTACGGGAAATGACTCTAAAACTACAAGAGATATCAACATGAAACTTTGTAGGTAGATGGATCTCAATGGGTAGATGTGCAGTGCACAAGAACTTGAACTCCGCCTTGCCAAATTTGGTAGTAATTGCCTTTTGTTCATTTTTACATTTTGAAGTTGTCTGGGACATAACTCAGAAACCATAAGAGATATCAACAAGAAACTTTGTAGGTTGATAGAGCGCATTGATTAGAAGTGCAGTGCAAAGAACAGTTACTCTGCCTTGCCTAATTTTGGAATTATTGCACTTTGAACTTTTTCCAGGGACATAACTCTGAAACTTCAAGAGGTGTACTTTCCTGTGTCCAAAACCTATTCGGGGAGCATCACCCGGCTCAAACCGGGCTCTTGTTTCATTAAGTTTTGAAAAGTGTTTTAGTTGTTATAAAAACTAACAAAATTACATAAGAATGAACCTTTTCCTTAAAAAATGGATGCATTGCATACATATTTTTTGTTCATTATATTTGTCTAAAGCAGCATGCCTCTAGATTCATGATGATTTTCATGAAAATGTTGATATGTATTTAAAAGCAAAATATTGTCAAGTGAACAAAGAAAGTAATTTACACATTGCAAACAGTGCCTTAAATCTACGTAAATTACCCCCAATGAAGGTCAAAATATGCAAAAAATAGCCCTTACTGTGTTAGTTAAAGGCAATAGAATATGGTGAGAAATACAACAAAGTCAGACATTAATCGCACATTACAAGTAAATTATTATTGAATCTTGAGTCTTTTTACCTTTTTTAAAATCTTAGTGCATTTTTCTCAAGTATGATTTTCTTGAAATATTTTGGCTTATCTGAAGGCATGTAGCTTTAAGACTCGGTACTCAATACTTTAAAACACTCACATTACTATACATGTAGCTGTGATTGATAGATGTATGTTTATTGTATTAATGCAGGTCTTGTCAAGAATTGTTGATGGTAGCAGATTTAGCGAGTTTAAAGTCCAGTATGGTACAACATTAGTTACAGGATTTGCTCATGTTCAAGGGTGAGACATTGGTTTAGTTTATACAAATTTATTTTATTTTAGTTTTTGTTGGAAACTATATGTTTATTAAACCACTCATGAATCCATTCTTGAAACCAACAAGTACTATGCAATGAATGTAAAGTTTCTTGCTCAAGGAAACTCTTTTTGTTCTATATAATTGCAAATAAATCTTGTTAAAGGTAGTTTTTCATAAATAAAACTGTTTTATAACTTTTGTTCCATCATTATGCCTGATGAAGAGCCTGAATTGTCATAACGATTATAGTCCTACAAATATGACGTCGCTTTGAGATATTTTTCATGATTCATGATTATTATAATTAAATTCTCTTATTTAATGAAACTACTTATACAACAGATAAATATAAATGGCCGTCACACAGTGAAATCTGATTGGCTAATTCAGATGGAAGCATTTAAACGTGTCAAACGTTTCAAAGGAAATTTTTTTTAATGAAATATTTGCCTATGCACCGTCAGCATGTATGAATATAATTATTTTTTTGTTCAAAAATTTGTAATCAATCTGTAAAGCGCTTTGGCCCATAGGAAAAATAGATTGATGTTTGTATTGTATTTTAAATTGATAACTGCATTGTTTGAGATTTCTTGTTAATGATTGAGCATGAAATGGAAAGAAAATTTGATAAACTTGTGAATAAAGCTTGAAAGGCAAGACAATAAACATTTTTTTAATTTTTTATCATGCTTTATGTTTATGAGCAATAACTATTAGATGTCGGGCTTGACCGACATAATCTATAACAAACCAGTAACTTCTGATATATTGGACTAGCGACTAATATAGTCCTTGAAAATTGATAAAAAGTCCTTTTGGTCAAGTCCTGTTTGAAACATGTCATATATTCTAGCTAAATATGGTTATATTGTTCATTTTTTGTGCCCCTTCTAGGGGGTGGGGGGGGGTCATTTAGATTTACCCTTGTCCGTCCGTTCCCTTTTTGTGTCGCATAACTCAAAAAATATTTAACCTAGAGTCATGAAACTTTACTGGAATGTTGATCAGCATGTGTAGTTGTGCACCTGGGTATTTTTGTCAATACTAAACAAACTATATAAGTATGGTCAATTAACACGACATGTTTATTTCAATATTTTTGATACCAAAGTAACCCCTGTACTTTTGTACGGTGCAGAAATATGGGGAACACGTCGCCAAGAATCAATTGAAACTGTGCACAATTATGCCTGCAAAAGATATATGTGTGTGAAACAGAGAGCAAGCAATATGGCTGTCCTAGGTGATTGTGGAAGACACCCTCTGTACATAGCAGCAGCTAAAAAATGTATAAAGTACTGGTTAAAGATTGTTAAAATGAAAGATAATCGGCTAGTTAAAAAGTGTTATCTTATGCTTATGAATTTGGATGAAAAAGGTCAAAACAACTGGGCCACCGAAATTAAAAACTTACTTTTAAGAAACGGCTTTGGATACATATGGCAAAATCAGTGTGTTTCAAATGAAATTTTTTTTATACATACGTCCACACAAAGATTAAAAGACCAATTTCTCCAAGAATGGTCGTCAAAAATACACATTAGTTCAAAACTACAGTGTTATGCTAACTTTAAAACAAACTTTGGACACGAAAAATATTTGGAAATTGTTAAAATAAGAAAATTTAGAAGTGCCTTAGCCAAAGTAAGAATTTCAAATCATGCCTTAAATATAGAAAAAGGAAGATATAGAAACATTAATAGAGAAGAAAGAGTGTGCGAACTTTGTCAAGAAGACCAATGTATTGAAACAGAATATCACTTTGTTCTTGTCTGCAATTCATATAGCTCTCTAAGGAAGCTATATATTCCTAGAAAATATTGGGTTTCACCATCAATTAACAAGTTTAACATACTCATGAATACTGACTCAGAATCGCTGTTGTTAAATTTAGCTAAATTCATATTTTATGGTCTACAATATAGATCTGAACATATTGGTTAAATTAATTTCTACCAATATTTATGTGACATTTTACTTTTAAATGTAATGAAGTTAAACTCACATAACACATACTAAAATAGATACAAATTAAAGTGTCGGTTTCTTCATTTGAAGGAACATTTTTGCTTTATTTATACATTGTTAGCAAACGTGTGCAAATCATTAATGCCAATATGATTAAATTCTACATTAAGTCTATTATTGTTGATTCAAAATTTTTCAATGTATACATTTGAGTTTGCGATAAACTACGTTTTAGCATGTTTTGCCTTACATTTTGTTTCGGATAAGGTTAAACTGTTGAAAATGTATAAAATTAATTCTCAATTACAATTTCTATTTCAGACAAACTTTATAGAAAGATTTTTTTTCTATTAAAATAGCAGTGAATTTTGATGATATACATGTATTACTGTATTTGACTATTACCATAATACTTTAACACTGTTTTGTACATATGTAAACAAAAACTTGTAAACTATGTTTTGTTTTGGGCTGGTGGCCTATGAAGCAATAAAGATATTGTATTGTATTGTATTGTATTGTGTGCATATATTGAGTATTTTTAGAGTTATTGCCCTTGAATAAGTAAAAATTTTCAATGTTCAACTTGTGTCGCACGTAACTAAAAAAGTGTTTGACCTAGAGTCATGAAACCTTACAGGAATGTTGCTCAGCATGTGAAGTTGTGCTCCTGGGTATTTTCGTGTGAATAATTTTAGTATTATTAGAGTTATTGCCCTTGACTTAGTAAAAATTAACAATATTCAACTTGTGTTGCACGTAACTCAAAAAGTTTATGACCTGTAGGCCTGAAAGTTTACAAGAATGTTGGTCAGCATGGGTACTTATGCACCTTTGGGTTTTCTTTATTTAGTATTCGTACTTAATAAAAGATTTTTAGTTTTCAACTTCGGCACATGTAGCAAAAAAAATATTTGACCTAGAGACATAAGATTGACAGATCGGTGGAGTGTGGGGGCACCCGTGTCCTATGGACACATTTCTAGTTTAAAATGCAAAACATTTTTACTTTTATATAAATATCTGACTTGTGAACTGAGCAATATGTTCATTCATTTCAAATTATGATGTTATTTTTTGGTACAGGTATTTGGTGGGTATAATAGGGAACAATGGTGAAATAACAGATACAGCTGCAGCTAAAGGAGCTCATTTTGTCCAGATGTGTTCAGAACGTAACATTCCAATTGTTTTTCTACATAACACTGTCTCTCAATCCACAGATAACACATTTGGTAGGTTGAAAGATTAATAATTCTAACTGAACAAATTCTTTTGATGAAACTGTTGTTTGTTTTTTTAATCTCAGTTAAATTATGAAAAACAAAAATCATTTAAAATTTTTAACAATTAATTTAATAGTATCATACCATATCATTTCTAATCATGAATGGACTTCATTTAAAAACCTCATCCAGTGCTTTAAGTTTGGAAAACATATCATGTTTGAAATAATCAACCGAAAATAAAAAATGATTGGACCACATGTGATTTAATTTCAGTGTTGTTAAAATTTTATGTTGTGTGTCTTTAAATAGAATCATTGATTGCTGAATTTGTTTTGCAATCATTAATTAAATTACTCTTGGAAATTTTTCTTTTCCATAACTTTTGGAAATAATACAAATGTTTTTGTTTGTTTCAGGTTTAACAGGTGGTAATTTTGTTCGAGATCATGCTAAAATGATGGCAGCTGTAAGCTGTGCTAAAGTACCAAAGATCTCTATTGTGATTGGTAATAGTATTGGACCTTCAAATTTTCTGATGGTAAGTAGTTGGTAATTGCTTAAAAGGAATATAGATAGAAATATAAATCCACAGCCATGGATCTCAAGGATTGTAAAAAAGGCTCAGCCCCTTGTCAGTGTTTGATTAGGTTTCGTTTTTGATCATTAATTTCAGTACTTTCAAAGATTTTACATTTAAATTAAACTTCATATTTTGATTCATACAATCCCAAGGCATATCAATGGCGAATATATGCCCTTTTTCGACTTAGTTTTTTGCCATTGTTAACATTTTTGCTAAGTAAATTTATCAAAATTTATCAAAGATGTTTACTTTAATCTTGTTATACTTGTTCACTATTAAAATTTGAATGCATTGTATATTAATTTGGTCTCATTTATTCCAGTGTGGACGTTCATGTAGCCCTAATTTTATGTTTTCATGGCCAAATGCTGCAATAGGTATGATGAAAAGCTCCCAGATTGTGCAAGCAATAATGCAGGTAATATTTTCATGCCTCCTTTAACAGGAAAACTGTGTGTATTTTTTTCTCTTTGGTTGATCTGATAATAACTAGAGAATAGTTGCACCTAAAGAATTGTTGAATATTGCACATTTTTCCCTTCACTGGTTACCAAGTGGGCAACTGGGTTTTGCAAATAGGCTTTTTTACTGCATAATTTACAGATAAATATTGACCATTGTAATGTGACTTGATATTTTTGTGAACCTCTGATTACTATAAAACCAAATTAAAATTCTTACATTTGCTTAGTAAAGATTTCATGTTTGATCGAAGCATAAGTGAATGACTGAGATTTGACTCCGGTAATTTTGCTGTATTACATTTAACTATTATTATTTATGCAGGAAAAGTTTGATGGGAAAGATGTTGACAATACTGAGGAGAAAGCAGAATTGGAGGAGAAGTTAACACAGAAATATTCGCTGGAAACATCTGCCTTCTACATCAGTTCTCGTGTGTTAGACGATGGAATTATTCTTCCTCAGCATACCAGACAAGTATCTACTTTTCTGTTCATGTGTCATGTTAATGATGTTCTATATCATTTTGTATAAGAATCCAAACAAGGACTTTGGATTATTTCATGTGAGGAAGCTATCCAGCTAGATTACAGAACATTGGTGTTTCTACTCAGGTGCCTGTTCATACCTAACATAATGTACAGAAGGGAACCTAAGCTCTTCCTCCACTAGTAATGCTGAAACGTCGATATATGACCTATAAGTACTGTGTCATTGTGATGTAAAACCAAATCAAACAAACAAACAATACTTTTGTTTAAAGTCAAAAACATTATCATTGTCATATTACGTTAATTTTCATAATGTAAACAGTGTCCATCCATGTCCATGTCTGTAAATTGATTGCACATCATTTTGGATATAAGTTTCTTTTATCTAGGTTAAGACAAAATCTTTTTATACATAACCTGGAGAATCTGTTCTAGTTTCCCTTAAAGGTTAATATCCAACACTTCTTAGGATAAACTTGCTAGGTTATGCATATATTCCATTCTAATTGTTCTTTTTCAATCATGCTAGTATCAAATATAACACACTTAAAAGCTTGATATACATGAAGATTAATTTCTGTATACAATTTATGGATGCATTATACAATGTTTACTTTATTTATAGGTGATAGGAAGATGTCTTGACATAACAGCAGCATACCTTCCCCGACAACAGACTAACTATCCTGTGATACGAATGTAAACTGTGATATATATATTTCTGATACTGTAAGATAATGACATAGCAAATGATATTATTAGATGTAATTATTATATTTTAAAGCAGCATGCCTCCAGATTAATGCTATTTTTTAATATGAAAATGTAGTTTAAAGTAAAATAATGTGAAGTGAACAAAGAAAGTAATTTCTATGTTGCAAACAGCACTTATAATCTATGTTTGTTACTAAAAAATAGGTCAAAATAGGCCTTACTAAGTTAGTCAGGCAGTAGAAATATTGTGATAAATACTGCAAAATCCAAAAACAGTCATTAATCGCATATAACATGTAAACTATGGTTGAATCTTGAATGTTTTCTCTTTTCTCAAGTTTGATTTTCTTAAAATATTTTTGGCTCATCTGGAGGCGTGCATGCAGGTTTAAGCATAGGCATTGGTTTATCATTTTTAATGTCCATTTTCTCAGTAACTATCACAGGATTCACTCCAAAACTTGCTATACTTGTTCATAATGAAAAGGGTGATGCTATATAAGACAGATAATCTTAATTTCATTTTTTTTAAACTTTATTACCCTTTTTCAACTTAATCTCAGAAACTATCAAAATTGTTCACTTCAAACTTAAAATACTTAATTACTTTCAAATTTGGAATGCATTTCAAAAGGGAAATTGATCTTTAAAATCCATTATTTTGCTCAGTCATACCCCTTTTTCAACTTAGAATATTTCCTAGTGAAAGTGTTTGTTATAACTATGATAGATATTCAATTTAAACTTGTTTCCTATCAATTCTAAAGACATGCTTGATTTTTTTTTGTCTTTCATTAGCATAAAATGTTTTCCAAATTTTCTCAAAAACTGTAACAGATATTCACTTGAAACTTTTATAACACATGTTTACTACCAGCGTTGGAAGAAAGATAGTCATTATTTTCCTTTTTTAACTTATTTTCCTTTTTTTCAAAACCATTGGTAAATATTCACCTAAATCTTGAAATACTTTTAAGTCTTTTTCACTATTAAGTGCAGGTGATTTTGACTTGTAGAGTGACTCCCCCTTTCTTACTGTGCTTGTATCATACAAAACAGCACTGAGAAAAGTTGAGCATGCTGTTAGTGGACAGGTCTTGTCTATGTATATTTTAGCAACACAAATGACATATGAGTAAATGGAAATATTCTTGTTTTGGTTTTAACAATTGTCATTAAAGCAGTGTTACAGGAACAATATGTTCTTGTCTATGCCATGTCAAGTAATGAATGCAACAAATCAAGTTTGATATATCATAGGATATATACAAGAAATTAAACTTGTTTGGATCGCTTTATGGTTGCTTTTATTTGAATTATTAATTTTGATTTTTGTTACTGACTGATAAATCTTTGAGTAATGATATGAGTTTTAAATTTTCTGGCTGCATATGTTGGTTTATTTCCCACTATGCATACTGATGGCAATTTTAGAACGTGTAATCATAGAAGATATGTTTTAAGGGTAAAAAGCATATTTATTCTTGGAAATTACAAAGATGAGGATTTTTCTATAGACTATAAAAAATATTTAGAAGTTGTCTGATTAAATTGAAAAGACATAGAAAAGAGTATAATTGAAATACATGTATATTGACCTTCATATGTGAATTTTACTAATCATGTAGTACACAGTGTAACATAGTTCAACATGACATGATTTAATAAGATTGAATGTATACCTCTGTTGATGTTTTATTTTGGTCTTATGATCATGTATAATATAATGTGAAATTTAACATTTAAAAATCTTGAAATTTGTTAACCTATTTATTTACAGATGTATCCTTACACTGCCAGATTCTATTTCGTACCTTTGTAGTTTTAACTTTTTATATCAAGTTTAATATCAAATCTATTACTATGTATACAAATTTTGCTGTGTAAAGGCTATGACTGTTTAAATCAAATTATGAAATGGTTGATTAAATCATTAATATTGTGAGAAAGTATTTATATGTTTTACAATGATGTTACATTCTGTAATGAATTATACTCATGTTAATTGAGTTTTTTATCAACCTTATATTGACAATACTGTCCATTTAAACTTATAATTACTAGTATCATATTAACATTTTCTATCCAATCACAATCAATGTAAGTCATTTATCATTTCATATCTAATTTAGAATAAAACTATATTTATTTATGTGTGTTTTAATGTTATTCTTTACCGTAGAAGTAATAGAATAATTGTATACACATGCACTTTAAATAATATACTAGGTAACTGTGTGAAATCCAGACTTGCATTATGTTTGTCATAAAAGTCTGTCGTATAGGAACGTAGCTTGATATATATTTATGTGTAGGTCATAACACCTTGAAGATGTTGTTATGATCAATAAATCTTCCATGGCAGCCTGATTCATTCTTGCCAATTTACAGCTCTCAATATAAAGAATAGCTCATGTTATGAGCCGGTTTGTTTGAGATAAGCCGGTATCTTGAGCATTGAAAAGAGAAGACAATCTTTTATCACAGCAAAATTTTATACTATTTACCATGGACAGAAATAAGAGAAATATTATTCAAATTAATTGCTGGTTACTGTCTATTCAATTATTTCTGCAATCATGTGACAAAGTATGTTGGAACTGAAACATATATCGTATGTCCGAGTTTGAAACAAGACATTGTTGTCAGGTTTCTATTACTTTCTATAGGGCAAGAGTTACATAAATTGCAACTAGAATTCCTCATTCACACTAGTGAAAGAATGAAACACATGTAAGACATCTTAGATATGAAACATATTAAGTGACTACCATAAAGTCGGAATTTACTGTTCTATGAACAGCGTATAGTCTTTTCGATCGAACCAGTGTGCTGGATAGTAAATGAATGGTGTAATGTCCTCGATATGTTTGTGAAATTGAATCTTTCACACATAGAAATGTATACATGTGCCTACTCATGTCTTATAGGTGTCACAGATATCCGCATTGGGACACATCTGCGGATGTTGAATAAATTTCTTGAATGACATGAAAAGGCGTTCCTAGCCGAGTCGTCGGGGCCATTGTTAACCCTTACCATTGTAGTTTCGAATCTTTGGATTAAAAGACTTTTGATTCTGTCATGTGAGGAAGCTATCCAGTTAGTTTTCGGAACATCAGTGGTCGTACTTGGGTGCCCGCTCGTGACTGAAATAATGCACGGAGAGACTGCTGAGATCTTCCTCTACCAGTAAAGCATGAACAGTGTTGATGCGACATAAACCCGACTTAAATTAATTTACATCAGTTACTTTCATTAAGAATGTTTTATTCTCATGTCCGTTGCTGTATTCTTTTTTAATTCTGTCTATTTTCCATTACACTGTTTGACATTTAACAAAATATTTTGTAATTACATTATCTGTATATATATATATATATATATATATATATATATATATATATATATATATATATATATATATATATATATATATATTATGTTATTTCTATATTTGCTATAATTCCCTTAATCATAACATTCAGAGCACTATTTTTTCAAGTATTAAAAAATTAATTCAAATCAATTTTATTTTTATGTGTCCGTAAAACATATAAAGACATTGCACCTACGCTTCGTTAGGTGGTTTCAGTGGACACGGCGAATATAAACAGTATACATAATGAAACTTGCCTTGTCATGGTTAAAATATACAAGGGTTAGAAAGATACCCATAGGATAACGACAACCATAGAATATAGCCTTGACAGCATTTATACACACGACCAGTTATTGTCAATCTTGTAAAGCTCTATTTTACGACGACTATGAACTTTTAACAAAGCTTATTATATCCAGCTGGGTATTTTGGGTTGGCAGTTGTTTTTGTCCAATTTCTTTTTTTTTAATTTTATCTATTAATGTTTTATTTGAATTGAGATGTGTTCACAAATACTTCCTCTCCGGCTTTGCCAAATAATTAAACGTTTTATCATATGAACAATGCATCTTTTTCAAGAACTCCTTATCAACAATTTAAAGATTATCACTTTTTGAATTTATTTTGTAAATATCTCATCATTTTTCTTGTCATTCTCTCTTTCAGTTATCTGTAAACTTACAGCATTTATTTACAGAACCATTACTAACATACATACAGTTGTTGAGGGAACAAAAAAAGTATAAAGTCCCAAAAAAAGAAAAACTTCTAGAACTGACCCAAGGGCGATTCTTGCCGTTGCTTTTCCTTCATCGCTGTGTTCCTGTCATATCTCCAATATCAAGATCTTTTTGTTCTTCTAATTGCAAGCCTCCATCTTTTTCTTTATTTGTCACATCTACTTGCTTTACATTCTTGCTGCATTTTAAGAAAATTCTGAATAAGAGTGACACAAACTGCGGTACTTTTGTTTGATACTTGTCATTCTCCATTCGGACAACGGTGATAGATAGAATAGAGATGATGATAGCCATAGAAAACTGTGTAACAATGTACAGTTGAATGTATGATACATATTTAGACACTCGTGGTACTGAATCACTGATCATGTTTAAAAGAACTACGTAGGTCAACAGTAAGGAGATATTGTAGCCTATCCTTTCACCACAAGATGATGGTAACTTGAAAGTGAAAACATTCATCATAGATAGCATAACTACTGGTATTATTACATTTAGTACATAAAATAGATACCTCCTTTCCAGTATAATCTGTATTTCTATGTAAGTCAGATAAGGACGGCGAGTTAAGTATTTGATATTTGTATCTACAATTATCCATTCATTGTTTTCCTCTGTCATTTTTATCATCATTTTATTTGTCACTGTTCTCAAACTTTCTTGCACGTCTGAATAGGTCATTTTACCCAACATGATTGTACATATTTGTGTATCAAAAGGATACTTTCTTATGTCCACATTACAGCCTGTCTGAAGATTGGCACCTGTATTCCATACTGCCATGCCTTCACTTTTTAGTGTAACTTTTGATCCTTTACTTTTATCAACCCCTATGTTTTCTCTGAAAGCATTTTGATAGGTGACATCAGGTGTCCATACACTGCCTGCAGAAATAATAAAACTGTCTGCTTCTCCAAACTCAGAAGAATTCCATGTGAAAGTTTCATAGTTCCATGAAAGTTGCATACCGATTGTTGAGGTTAGAACTTGATTTTTCTCATCAAGACCATGTAAATGTGTTAGAAGTGGCACTACATTCACATGTACGGTATCAGATTGGTTAATTACTGGTCTTATATCAATGTCCATTCGTTCTGTGAGATGATTGTGAAGTCTCTGTAGATCATTAAAGGTTGCCATACTTACACAATGGAAACATAAAACACTTACTGCAAAAAGTAAATTGAAGAATCTTAAATATATAGCAAACATCTTGATTTTATTTTATCTTTTTAGAAAAACAGTGTGCCAGTCCATGAAGGATCATGTAATAGCAAATAATTTTCAGGGAGTTTTTAACTTTTTATATATAACAGTGTAGCTATCAAATACTAGTACTACAATATTTTTTTTATTTGATTTTTGTTTAACTATAATGTATTTTGTGACAGCTTTATTTGTTCGAAAAACTATAACTAATGGATTTTTAAAAGGTTTCATATCTAATACAAAAGTCTTTGTGATTTTTTCATATATAAAAGGCTTATTTCATGTATTTGTGCATGCTGGAAATGTGATGTATGAAGATTTTTGTTGACATTAGTACTAAAATGTATTATCATATAACTAAATGAATAAGTGATTCAAAATAAAAAGAATTGATTTACCGGGAAAAATGTCAAGCTAGTATTTTATTGCGTGTCCCACTGAAATGTGTTGAAATTCATTATGTTCAGGTTCAAGATTGGTATGGACATTTTTCTTTATAAATAAAAAGAAAATTGGAAGCTTGAAGAACACTGCTTTCTTAATTAAAACGTGCAGATGAACAAGCTTGTAAAAGACAGTCATTTAGATACATCTACCAGGTAACATGTATATTATAATATTTGATCATGATCCTACCCTATAACTATAGAGCTTAATGTTATTTTTGACCGGAGGCCTGCTTGTGTCATGAACGCCGTTGCTAATTCCATGGTAGGGGTATAACTCATTTCTTCACTACATGTAGCTATATGGTTTTAAGTTTTGGCGAAGAATTCAAAGAATGTTTAGATCTGAAGTTTACAATAATCAAAAATATTTACGTTAGTTTCATGAAAATCATAGATTTTATACATTACCTTGGACATGATATTAATTAAAATGGTTAAGATATTTTTTGTATTTTCACTGCAGTGAAACATGTATTCCGTATTTTGACGAACTACTTATCACATATATTGTTTAATTTGTGATTTGTTAAGACCAACAGCAATGAGAAAAAATAACCTCAGAACCTGAACAGTCAAACTTAGCCATGTAAGATTCTGTATGTAAACGTGTTTTCAAGTGAAAGAAGCAATGTTGCCTAAAACAAAATAATATTTGCGAGATCAAATATTTGCGAATAATTTCAATTTGCAAGCATCGAAAATATTTCCATGGCGCAAAGTAAATCATTTATACAGTTGTACACTATGTAACATAGTTTAACATGACATGATTTAACAAGCATCTGTTGGTGGTGTTGTTGCTTTATGGGATTTTTTGTTCACAAAATCATGTATATTACAAAGTGAAATTTTGCATTAAAAATCTTGAAATTTGTTAACCCTTTTATTCCCAGATGTATTTTTACACTGCCAGATGTATTATACTGTACCTGTATAGTTATATTTTTATATCAAGTTTAATATCAAATCTATTACTATATAATTATACAAATTTTGCTGTGTAAAGGCTATGACTGGTTAAATCAAATTATGAAATGGTTGATTAAATTATCAATAGTGTGGGAAAGGATTTAAATGTTTTACAATGATGTTGCATTCTACATGTATAATGAATTATACTCCTGTTAATTTAGGTTTTTATTAACCTTATATACTGTCCATTTAAACTTATAATTATCATATTAACATTTTCTATCCAATCACAATCAATGTAAGTCATTTATCATTTCATATCTAATTTAGAATAAAATAATATTTATTTATGTGTGTTTTAATGTTATTCTTTACCGTAGAAGTAATAGAATAATTGTATACACATGCACTTTAAATAATATACTAGGTAACTGTGTGAAATCCAGACTTGCATTATGTTTGTCATAAAAGTCTGTCATAAACAAAATCAGGAACATAGCTTGGTACATATTTATGTGTAGGTCACAACACTTTTAAAATATTGTTATGATCAATAAATCTTCCATGGCTGCCTGATTCATTCTTGCCACACACAAAGTATGTATTTACAGCTCTCAGTATAAAGTATAGCTCATGTTATGAGCCGGTTTGTTTGAGATAAGCCGGTATCTTGAATATGGACAAGACAAGATCATCTTTTATCACAGCAACATTTTATAGTATTTACCATGTACAGGAGTAAGAGAAATATTATTCCAGTTCAGTGCTGACTACTGTCTTTTCAATTATTTCTGTAATTATGTGACAAAGTATGTGGGAACTGAAACATATATCGTATATGTCCGAGTTTGAAAGAAGACATTGTTGTCAGATTTCTATTACTTTCTATAGGGGAAGAGTTACATGAATTGCAACTATAATTCTTCATTCACACTTGTGAAAGAATTAAACACATGTAAGGCATCTTAGATATGAAACATATTAAGTGACTACCATAAAGTCTGATTTTACTGTTCTATGAACAGCGTATATATTCTTCTGGAACGAATGTGTGTGCTGGATAGTAAATGAATGGCGTAATGTTTTCGCTACGTTTGTTAAATTGAATCTTTCACACATAGAAATGTATACATGTGCCTACTCATGTCTTATATGTGTCACATTAAGGGTTCCGTGATAACCGCATTTGGGCACATCTGCGGATTTTAGATAAATTTCTTGATTGACATGAAAAGGCGTTCCTAGCCGAGTCATCGGGTGGTTGACAGCCCCTCAACATTGTAGGTTCGAATCTCTGGATTTAAAGACTTTTGATTATGTCATGTGAGGAAGCTATCCAGCTAGTTTACGGGACATAAGTGGTTCTACTTGGGTGCCCGCTCGTGCGTGAATTAACGCATGGGGGACTGCTGAGATCTTCCTTCACCAGTTAATCATGAACAACGTTGATGCGACATAAAACCCAACAAAAAACATTTACATAAGTTTCTTTTATTAAGAATGTTTTTTCTCATGTCCGTATTCTTTTTTCGATCCGGTGTATTTTTCTTTACACTGTTTGGCATGTAACAAAGTATTTTGCAATTACATTGTACGCGTACATTATGTTATGTCTTTATCAAAACATTCAGAGCACTAACTCTCAAGTATTATCATATCAAATTTGATTTCATGTGTCCTAAAACCATAAATCATTGCAACTATGCTTTGTTTGGTAATAGACACGACGAATATAAACAGTATAAATATTGAAACTTGCCTTGTCATGGATGAAATATGTGTACAAGAATCAGCCTTCATAGAACGTAGCCCTTGGCAGTATCTATTATAACAGACGACCAAATATTGTTAATATTGTAAAGCTCTATTTAACGACGACTAGGGCTTATTATATTCAACTGGGTATTTTGGGTGGGCAGTTGTTTTGTTGTGGTTTTTTTTGTCCAATTTCTTCTTTTCAAATTCCTCTATTAACGCTTTATTTGAATCGAGTTGTGATCCTTGATACTGCCTTTTCATATTTACCAAATGATTAAACGTTTTTATCATGGATGTGCTTGATATGAATTTCAAGAGCACCTTATAAACGTTTTAATGTTTATATAACTTTGAATTTCTTTTGTAAATAGCTCATCATTTTGCTCGTCATTCTCTGTTTCAGTACTCTGTATACTTTTTACATTTATTTACAGAATCATAACTAACATACATACAGTTGTTGAAGTAACAAAGAAAGTCATAAAGGTCCAAAAACAGATACTGTCTAGAAACTGTACCAAAGTCGGATTCTTGCTGCTTACTGTTTCCTTCATCACTGTTCCTGTCCTATCTCCAATATCAAGATCTTTTTGTCCTTCTAACTGCAAGCCTCCATCTTTTTCTTCATTTGTCACATCAACCTGCCTTACATTTTTACTGCATCTTAAGAACTTTCTGAATAAGAGTGACACAAATTGCGGTACTTTTGTTTGATACTTGTCATTCTCCATTCGGACAACAGTGATAGATAAAATCGAGATGATGATAGCCATAGAAAACTGTGTAACAATGTACAGTTGAATGTATGATACATATTTAGACACTCGTGGTACTGAATCACTGATCATGTTTAAAAGAACTACGTAGGTCAACAGTAAGGAGATATTGTAGCCTATCCTTTCACCACAAGATGATGGTAACTTGAAAGTGAAAACATTCATCATAGACAGCATAACTACTGGTATTATTACATTTAGTACATAATATAGATACCTCCTTTCCAGTATAATCTGTATTTCTATGTAAGTCAGATAAGGCCGGCGAGTTATGTATTTGATATTTGTGTCTACAATCAGCCATTCATTGTTTTCCTCTGTCATTTGTATCGCCATTTTATTTTTTACAGATCTCAAACTTTCTTGCGAGTCTGAATAGGTTGTTTTACCCAAAATGATTTTACATATTTGTGTATCAAAAGGATATTTTTTTATGTCCACGTTACAGCCTGTCTGAAGATTGGCACCTGTGTTCCATACTGCCATGCCTTCATTTTTTATTGTAACTTTCGATCCTGTTCTTTTATCAACCCCTATGTTTTCTCTGTAGGCATTTTGATAGGTAACATCAGGTGTCCATACACTTCCTGCAGAAATAATAAAACTGTCTGCTTCTCCAAACTCAGAAGAATTCCATGTGAAAGTTTCATACTTCCATGAAAGTTGCATGGCGAAAGTTGAAGTAAGAACTTGATTTTTCTCATCAAGTCCATGTAAATGTGTTAGAACTGGCACTACATCGACATGTAGGGTATCAGATTGGTTAATTACTGGTCTTATATCAATATCCATTTGTTCAATGAGATGCTTGTGAAGTCTCTGTAGATCATTAAAGTTTGACATACTCACACCATCGAAACATAAAACACTTACTGCAAAAAGTAAACTGAAGAATCTTTGATGTATAGCAAACATCTTGATTTTATTTTATTTTTTCTTCAGAAAAAAAACAGTGTGTCAGTCCATGAAGGATCATGTAATAGCAAATAATTTTCAGGGTGTTTTATATATAACAGTGTAGTTGTCAATAATTCATTATTTTTTATTTGATTTTTGTTTAACTATAATGTATTTTGTGACAGCTTTATTTGTTCAAACAATAACAGAGAAAAAATTATCTCTAATGGATTTTTAAAAGGTTCCATATCTAATACAATAGTCTTATTGAGCCGATGTCAAATTAGTCCCTGGTATTCGGGTCGTAGAATACTACGCTTCATGTCAAACAACAAAATAATAT